GAAACTGACCAGCCTTCTCTCTTTGCAACGCTTGGCCACTGGGATATGAGGTCATCTATCCCAGCACAGCAGCCCTTAAAACAAAGTGATTGGCCGCTGCCGCTCCTCGCAGCTCACATCTCCTGTGAGGCTTTCACTCCGCCTTATATGGCCGGCACATCTAGAGAGGTAAGAGAGAGTGACCGTCGGGAGAGTGGTTTTATGTGCTCCCGCTGGTCACACGGACATTATTGCTCCATTAGGATGGTAGCGCCGGCCCTGTGTCCGATGCCCCCCCAAAAGGTGCCGCCTGTTAGTGCAGTGCATGCAATTTAAGAACCACGACCACAAACGCACAATGTAAATGTGTTCCTTTTGATCTGAATGGATGGGTCAGGATTTCATTCTGATCTAATGAATGGGTCTGATAGGGCAGAAGTTCATACTTCCACAATATCATATTAACTCATCAGGCTCACACATTTAGATCTGGGTGTCACTTGCATAGAACATTTGCCATTCACCTCCTTGATCACTTACTGCAGATACAGCCAATATCTCTTTGAAGATGGAGAACTTGTAAAGCTATCAAATGAGAGTTAATGTATTTTTTTTTTTGCATGGCTGTTTTCCTACAAACCAGAAGGTACCCTGCACTGTACACATTACTAGAGGAGTATAAGCAATAATAATAATAATAATAATAATAGGAAGAAGAAGAAGCATCTAACACGCCGCAAGACCCACTTTGTGTAATGGAAAAGTGAACTACTAGGCAAGCTGGAGAATTGTTTAGAATCAGTCATATTTTCTTATTATTCCATCTGCAGTTTTTTTTTTCTTTCTTAAAATGTCACACATTTACACATGGTGTTCTGTACCATCTGTAAGAATACACTGAAATAATACTAATTCGATCTCAGGAGGAGAAAGATATATTGTGTCATGTGCTACCTGTAAAACACAAACACCCAGGAACGTTCAGACTGTTTGCTTTGTGGAATAGTTTCCACATATAGCACATTCGCCCCCTGCTGGTTATACTGGGTACATAAAGCCATCTATGTCCACGTGAATGGTTAAATAGGTTTAAACAATGTTCAGTCACTCCCTGTTGTAGGCGGGAGAAAAGACGTCTTAAATCAAGTTAAAGCTGAACAATTTTCAGATCCCGCTTTCACACAGACAAGTAAGCATGACACTGCAAATGTTTAAACGGCTTTAATAACTCTGTTTGTTTTACACTATTCCCAGCAATACATAGATATGGTTCTTATGACTTATAAGTCAATTTGAAACAGAAAACCCAAACTATACCATGATTGTGTATTTCTGAGAGCACAATATTCCTATATGTGCAATTACCATCATCTACATTCTACAGCAGGGATCTCCAGATATTGCTGAAATACAACTCCCATGATTCTCTGAATGAAATAGAGAGCCAGAGAATCATGGGAGTTGTATTTCAGCAACATCTGGAGGGACAGAGTTTGGAGAGCCCTGATCAACAGCATCTTTAGAATAGACCAGCTTTACAACAGTGGCCATTGGAGTAACTAAATGACCTCCATTTGTTTAAATATACATAGGGATTAAAGAGAGAGTTTTTACTACATGTATTGGATCACCCTGGTGATCATTGCTGCGGCCCAGGAGTGATGGGAGTGAGCACAGGGCCTTTTCTTTTTGTATTTGTTTCAGCTTTACAACATGTTAAAGGGACACTATAGTTACCAGAACCACTACAACTTACTGTAGTTCCAGTGAATATAATCACTCCCTGCATGATTTTTAATGTAAACACTGTATTTTCAGAGAAAATGTAGTGTTTACCTTATAGTCTAGGGCAGGGGTCCCCAATTAATTTTTCCTGTGGAACCCTTTGACATAGTGTATTAACTTTGTGGAAATTTTGGCGGAACCCTAGGGTTCCGCGGAACACCAATTGGGAAACTCTGGTCTAGGGACACCTCCACTGGCCACTCCTCATATGGCTACTAGAGGTGCTGCCTACTGTGCAGCACTAACATTTCTTCACCCTCTGCACAGAGACATTGAACTTTCCTCATAGAGATGCATTGATTGGAAATGCTGATTGGCACAGCATGGCATTTTGCCACATCTATGCAATAGCCTTCCAATACATTCCTATGGGAAAGCATTGAATTGGCTGAGATCATCAAGATAAGTGTTCCTTTAACCCCTTATCACCATTACAGCCTCATATGCTGTCCCCATTATAATGGGCTTTAAAGCTGTTGCGGCGGCATAGAGCGCCGTAACGGCTTAAGCTCCCAGGAGCCAGGAGAAACTTACCTCCGCCCCGATCTTCTTCGGGAGGACTGCCTGACAGTATATATACACACATAAATACACATACACTGTTTAATCAATGATATTGATTAAATATATATATATAATTATCACTATATATATAATATAAAAAATATGTAAATACGTAGAAAAAAATAAAATAAAAAAATATATATGTGTAATTTCGTTTTAACTTTATTTTAAAATTAATATATATTGATATCAAAATACACGTAGAACAAAATTATATACATATATATCTACACACGTATGTGTGTGAATATATATATATATATATATATTTATATATTAATTCTACATTTTATTAATTACAATTTGCGAGACCTGCCTGACAACCCAGGCCGAATGTCCAGAGAATTTAATTTGCTAGCACTATATTTAACCCTGTAACTTTCCAAGACACCATAAAACCTGTACATGGAGGGTACTGTTTTACTCAGAAGACTTCGCTGAACACAAATATTAGTGTTTCAAAACAGTAAAATGTATTAGAACGATGATATCGTCAGTGAAAGTGACATTTTTTGCATTTTTCACACACAAATGGCACTTACACAGACTATATAATTGTTATGATACATTTTACTGGTTTGAAACACTACTATTTGTATTCAGCGAAGTCTCCTGAGTATAACAGTACCCCTCATGTACAGGTTTTATGGTGTTTTCAAATGTTACAGTGTCAAATATAAAACTTGCCCATTTCAGTTTTTTCATTGAAATTTGCCAGATTGGTTATGTTGCCTTTGAGAGCGTATGGTAGCCCAGGAATGAGAATTAACCCCATGATGGCATACCATTTGCAAAAGTAGACAACCCAAGGTATTGCAAATGGGGTATGTCCAGTTTCTTTTAGTAGCCACTTAGTCACAAACACTGGCCAAAATTGGCGTTCAGATTATTATCATCAGAGTAAGATGAGGAGGTATTTAGTTTTAAGATGCATTAAATATAGGATTAAGGTAAAGGGTTTATTTTCAGTTTTAGGCTGATATTGCTGAGTTTGAATGATGATTTGCAATGTACTCGCCCTCCTATGTCTTCTGTAGATCGGTTAAAGGGACACTCCACAACCCTAGAGCACTCTAGCTTGCAGGAATTCTTTATGCTTGAACAGTGTGTCCTCTTTTTTAATTTTTTTTTATAAAAATCAGATAGCCGAACCTGTTACTTACTGGTTTGGTTAGCTCAGTGGAGCTAAACTCAAGAGGCTGCAATTGCCCAGTGCCCCTGCCTTGCAAAGACTTCTCATTGAGCTGCATTGAGAAGTCAGTGATTGGACAGACACAGAAAGTCTGGGCTGGAATAAAGATAGGACTTGCAAAGGCAGCAGACAAGATCCACAGCTTTTGCAAGCTGTTTTTAGATGTACCCCAATGAAAAAAAATGCATAATTAAATGCATGCATTTTTGTATTGGGGATATATCTAATAAACATAGATAGAGATATATACTGAACAAAATTATGAACGCAACACTTTTGTTTTTGCCCCCATTTTTCATGAGCTGAACTCAAAGATCTAAGACTTTTTCTATGTACACAAAAGGCCTATTTCTCTCAAATATTGTTCACAAATCTGTCTAAATCTGTGTTAGAGGGCACTTCTCCTTTGCCGAGATAATCCGTCCACCTCACAGGTGTGGCATATCACGATGCTGATTAGACAGCATGATTATTGCACAGGTGTGCCTTAGGCTGGCCACAATAAAAGGCCACTGTTCTCTGTTCTGCGGAGATGTCTGGCTTTGGCTTCTGGTATCCAGTACTCTTTTTACAATTCTTGTTTAGTTTTTCTTGTTTGTTTCTGGTTTTCTATTCTATGTCTGGTTTTCTTTATGCTGGGTTTTCTGGGTTCATTCCTTTATTCCGTTCCTGGAATTTCTAGTCTCCTGGATTCCTTTGAATGTTTGGTTTTTGTTGCCACACCCGTTCCTTTTCCATGAATCCTTTTGTTTCAGTTGATTCCTGCAGGCAGTTGTTTCAAGTCCTCTGCCCTTTCTTGCAGGTAAGTGCTGTGTGTGTTTTATTATTGTTTATTTAGTCATGCATATCTAGGTAGATAGGAACCCACTGTAATTGGACTACTTTGCTGCAGTGGTGGGCTGCATTCATCTTGACTATTTTGTATGTCTAAATCTCCAATGTTTTTCATATATAGTACTTAATTATGTCTCCTTTTGTTTTGCCTTGTATCTCTTGTTTTTTTTTTTTTGTCTTGTATTCCCAGTTCATGTATAGTCCTGTCCTGCCCTGTTCTTGTTTTACTCATGTCTTGTCTACATGTTCTGGGTTCTGCTTTCTGTCCTGCTCCAGTACTGAGTTCTCCTAGTTTTGTCTTGTTTTCTTGTTTGGTGTCTATTCTAGTCTTACCTTGTTTCTGTACTGGATACATATGTGCTGCAGAGCCTCCCTATTCAGATCCTGGGAGGTCTGCTTATTGTCATCTGCCACCTGACTCCTAATATCAAAATCAGGAATACTGGGTCCCTGTCACCGGACCGCCACCCTTGACAGCCACTCTAAAAATGTGCAGTTTTACTGTATAAATAGGGGTCAATAATTCTATGATAGGGATGGTGAGTCAATCTTTATCTCTGATCAGCAAAGCACAATTCACGTTAAAATTGAATTAATATATACTGCTGTTATACAATCAATGTCTTGTATTTCACAGGTTACAGATATGGCTCAGAAGGAACATAGAATCCTGAACTACGTGTTGAAAAATGCTGTCCGCGGTAACCCGCAGAGTGTGGTGGACACGATCGACCAATACTGCAGCCAGAAGGAATGGGCCATGAATGTGGGAGATGAAAAAGGTAAAAAAAATAACAAAATAAACCTTAGTTTTTATGCAATGCATGTTTTGTCATTCTTTCTCTATTGAGAGTTATGCCAAGCAAAAGAGCGTTGAATAAACAAACTCCATTTTAAGTTTTTCTTAGATAATTATGGCAAAATAGATAAACTAGCCTGTGCAAGTGCAAGAGTGACCAATCATTACAGCAGCACTTAGTTACCATCAATATAGAATAGCAAGGGACTTTAGTAGGGTCAATAAGGTAAGACTAAATAATATAAAAATCAAATATAATATAATAATCAAAGAAATAAATTATTCAGAACAAACAAACTAAAACTTGCTATAGAAAACACTCAGAGCTGGCCCCATACAATAGAAAGTCATATGAATCCCATAATAAGACTGGTAAGTCTCCTTAGGTGATATCCCTATATCACACCATAGGGAAATAGTGGAGAGTGGCAGTTACCTTGGGTGCCTGTGATCCTGCTGTAGCTGCATTATGAGAGGCCGAGGGAGATAGTATATTGGATGTCTTATCATCTAGATTAGCTTCCTCTTGTAGCCCAGGTAAATCTTTTTTTTTTTTTTTGTAAATATGTTTTTATTGAACATTTCGTTTTGTTTTTGTTTTTTTGCTTTGTTTTTTCATAGTTATCAACATGGAACAGAAAAACATGGACACGCAAGTCCCTTTGGTCATTTGTACTTGTTTATACATCATAGGGCATAGTCTGTTAGACGTGTCTTGGCGACTCGCAGGTCGCTTTCTTGAGTAAATGGTGTGTGCATAGTTACAAATAGTACTTTGTTATATCTGACGTGTACCTTTTCTGCATTGGGTAGTTTTGTATGTCCCGCCAATTTTCGTCTAGTCCCCCATGCTCACCCTGTAGCCACCATGCAGTCCTAGGACATGTGGGGTACCTACTGTGTAGGGTCCCATCAGGGCATGCAGCCTCCTTGCGACCCCGTGTCTAAGGTCCAGGATGGTGGTATAGTGGGGTGTTGACCCCCTACGCTGGTACTATTCGGCTCTGCCCAGCGTTATACATTGGTGTGGATGGGAGTAACCTAAGGGGCATCCTGCGTTTCCTTCTAAACTAGTAACGTTTGTAACTCGCGGAACTGGCGCTCTTCCACCCCCCGTACCCGCGGGGCCGTAAGCCGTTTTGGGCACTGCAGGTGGCCGCACCCCGACAGGTATCATACCCCCCCAGCACACCCCTGAGGGGTCGGCCCCCCGCATCCCGAGCCCGTGCTCCTCCCGGACCTGCCAGTGTGTGGGGTAGGGTGGGGTACTGCGTCTTGGGCCAGGTGTGGGTCGTCCCGTTAGGCTCCTGGTGTCTCCTCCTGGGGGTTGTCCATTCCTCCCCCCATGGTCAAATGCACAGTTCAAAATGCCTCCGTTCCCACCCATGTCAGCCAGGGTGTCCATGTGTCTAGGTATGTCTGCATTCGGTCTTGGGCTGAGTACCAGATTTCCTCCGTTACTCGTAACTCCTCCATTCTAGTAAACCACAGGGAAAGCGTTGGAGTTGTGTCTTTTTTCCAGTACAAAGGTATTAGGTGTTTTGCGACATGAAGAATGCGGATGGTCAGGGAGCGTTTGTATCGTGGTGTGGGGGTTGTCGTGTGGTGCAGGAGGTACGGGGCGGGCTGGAAGGGTGGGACATTGTCCGTGAACAGGGCCACCATGGCAGCTATTTTCTCCCAGAACGGTACTATGAGTGGGCATTCCCACCATATGTGGAGGAAGGATCCTACCCCTCTCTTGCCGTCCGTGTCTAAGTGCATTCTCTGTAAGCGTTCTGATGTCAAATACCATTGTGTGAGGACCTTGTAGGCCGTTTCCTGCGTTTTGCTAGCAATTGCGCAGTGGTGCACTAGGTCGCAGATCTTGTGCCACTGGGTCTCGGTAAGTGTTTCTCCTATGGCGGTCTCCCATTTGGACATGAAGGAGGGTAGGGGTTGTCCCTGTTGTCGTTGTAGCATAGAGTAGAGGTGGGAAATGCTATGGGGCATGGGCTCCGGGTCCTGGCACAACTGTTCGAATTGCGTGAGATCCCTATAGATATCGGGGAGGCTGCAATCTTTTGTTCAGTGTCTCCTTGCAGAGGGTGGAGTCCCTGAATGTCAGTGCTGCACACTGTGGGAAGCACCTCTAGCAGCCATCTGAGGAGTGACCAGTAGAGTTATCATTAGGGTGTAATGGAAACACTGCATTTTCTCTGAAAAAGTGCTTACAACAAAAAGCCTGAAGTGAATGATTATACTCACCAGAACAAATACAATAAGCTGTAGTTGTTCTGGTTTCTATGGTGTCCCTTTAAGGCTTCCTGTCAAACATTATTTAATGCCTAAAGCTAAAGTAGTACTGAAATAGCCTTTGTCCCAAGACAAAAAAGGGTGCCTCAGATTGACATTGAGGTAAAAAGTATTCTAAAAAATAGCTGACTTTTGTTAGGATAAATCATAGGCAAATATTTTCTAAAAGCTGCACCCTCTATTCTGTTTGGCTTTATGTTTTGTTAATATATACATATATGTAGACAACCAATTTGCAGTAACTTTTTGCTGAAAATCCTCCAGAATATGTTTTTAAAAAAAAAAAAAATAAATAATAATAGTGTATTCACAAATATATGCATAGAAATTACAATGAAAAATCACTAGTCCGCACGACCGTTTCAGATGTCTTTTAATTCAAATCAGAAACCACAGGCTTCCATACAGAACTGGGGTACTGCATTTTTCTGATCACATTTAAGTGTCATTGTAATGCTTATCTGATATGACACACTGTCACATGAAACCTAGTTCCCATTTTAAAGCTGATTAGACCGATTGCAAAATCAAGCAAAGCCTAAAAAACAAATATTGCAAATGGACTGTAGGTCAGTGACCTCTCTTTTCACAGACACTACTGACCTTGCTCCTGATTTTACTGAAATATAACACCACCTTATACATTCAAATAAACAGATATAAATGATTCCCTTATAGGCGGACATTTTTATATAATGAACAAAAAATGTAAAAGAATAATTTAAAAGGGGCAGAGCTTAGCAGCCGAGCCGAACGAAGCAGTGCCGAGAGAGCTCCCATGGTACCGGCCACAAAAACGGAGCTAATCCCAGACCTTAAACCTGAAATCACCCCAAAATTCACCCCATGCAGTTAGGGAGTGAACCGATGACTTTGGGGATACCGTACTCGACGTTACTAGTTACGAGGAGCTGGCACCACAACATGCGGCCTAAGGGCACAGGAACTGGGGAGAGGCGGACGCTCTCCTCACTCCATAAGCAACAGAGCGGATCTGTCAGGCTCCTACCCCCTCCCGCCTCCTGGATCATTGGGGGTTATCTCTGTCCCCACAGATGTGCCGACATACTCACATGCCCTGGAGCCGGCAGAAACTGTGGAGCTATCTACTTATAAACAGCCTGACAAGATGGCCGCCGCTGCGAAGCCTGCTGCCATTCTTGCATCCAATCTATGGGCCACAATGGAAGAACGGATATCCCAGGACTTTGAAAAACTGTGGGTACAACTCTGGCACAGGATCAAGCGACGTGCAGTGCGATCAGAAGCCACACAAGCAGTTCAACCTGATCTGAACTGCCTACACAGACACAAGTGGTTGCCCGCTGGGCACAGTGTGGACGCGACACTGAAAATGGCTGCGAAGAGGCTGGTGCCCCGATGGACACAGCAAAAGCGGAGGCCTGGTCCTGCCATGGACCGCTGCCCACCCAGGTCACAGTTCAATAGGGGACGGCTCCCCAAGCACAACCCACACCCTCAGAAGGTCACTACCGTACACAAGGGAAAACACCTTGGCAAAGGGCCTTGAGACAAAGTCCTGGACGCTTCCTGCAGCAGGACCTGTGGGATTGGTGCTATGGACTGTACTAAAACCTGGGACTGGTGGGATACAGTTGTGCAGGACTTTTGTCATTGCTACTACAGGGGCAGTGTCCACTATATGGGAGGAATTGGCTGAATGTTATTCTTTATTTTGTTGTCTCAGGGGCTACAGCTCTCCACATCCTTGTGGACAGTCACCACTGACTCTTTCCTCCATTTATCTACACTGTCTCCAGATGATGTTGGCACCCAGTGGCACCACCTGTATTTTCGTTAGGATGTTGATTTCCCAAAAGGCAGCACATATCTATCTCTATCACTACAGCATCTATTGCACCTACTCTCCACATCACTCGATTAGCTTGAGAATGTATAAAATGTTGTATGCTTAAATGTGCATTGCTTACCCTGTTTGAATCTTGCTTTTCAAAAATAGAGGCTGTGTATTTCAGAGTTTAGCTCTATATGCATATCTACTATACTATTGTCAAGTACACACTTGCTATTACTCCAGTACCTCATTTCTGTAATGTATGTTTTATGCCTCAGAATGACTAAAAAAAAAAATGCCCACAATGCATTGTCCTAGTCTGTGCAGATTTCATAGACCCTGATATTGGGAGGTATAAAGATGAAAAAGGTGTGTGAGCACAATTGTTTGAAAGGGGCCTTTTTTAGCCTGGTATGAATGTATAATGTGTGGGTCCACTGTCTAGGTAATTTCCAATTAAAAATAAAATAAAAATCAGATAAAAATGCTGGCGTATCATTAAATTAGCCAGCCCGATACAAAATCGAAAACACAGAATGCTGTTAATGTCCTCTGTCACTAGGCTGAATGCTCGGAACGCAGATCCTGAACCCAGAAATGTATCTCTGAAAGTAGGACTTTTGGGAGGTTTGAGATTCTGCAGCGAGCCCTCACCAAACCACTTGACTTCTAGAGCTCTACTAAAACTAAATATTATCAGCAGAACTTTTTTATCTACAGCATTGCTTTCTGGACGTTTAAGTTAATGGTCAACTTTCTGCTGTAGAAAATGAAGATCGGAACAACAATAAGTCGTGTCATCATGAACAAACAAAAAAAAAAAAGAGAGAGACCAGCACTCCTTAACCCCTTAAGGACACATGACATGTGTGACATGTCATAATTCCCTTTTATTCCAGAGGTTTGGTCCTTAAGGGGTTAAACAATCAATGTGTTGGGTTACACTGGGCACCTGCAGCCGCATGCCCAGCAGGAGAACCTTTTTAGCTCTACTGAGATAAGCAGACACTAGGGGAATTGGAACTTAGATGCTAGCTAGTACTCCAGACAATTGATCCCCTGGGCACCATTTAGTAGATCTCTCTTTTTATTCAAGTAATACTTTTTGTTTGCATAATCCTTTTTATCCTTAGATTGATTAAAGGTAGGGCCCCCCTTCCTCATTTCTTATACAGTGGAGCTCTCCTGATGTTAGTTTACCCTTGTGGGACTCTATACATCACATACTCCTATTTCCTCGTTTAACCCCTTAAAGGACCACTCTAGGCACCCAGACCACTTCAGCTTAATGAAGTGGTCTGGGTGCCAGGTCCAGCTAGGGTTAACCCATTTTTTCATAAACATAGCAGTTTCAGAGAAACTGCTATGTTTATGAATGGGTTAAGCCTTCCCCCAAAGCCTCTAGTGGCCGTCTCATTGACAGCCACTAGAGGCGCTTGCGTGCTTCTCACTGTGATTTTCACAGTGAGAGCACGCCAGCGTCCATAGGAAAGCATTGTAAATGCTTTCCTATGAGACCGGCTGAATGCGCGCGCAGCTCTTGCCGCGCGTGCGCATTCAGCCGGCGGGGCGTAACGGAGGCGGAGAGGAGGAGGAGAGCTCTCCGCCCAGCGCTGAAAAAAGGTAAGTTTTTAACCCTTTCCCCCTTCCAGAGCCGGGCGGGAGGGGGTCCCTGAGGGTGGGGGCACCCTCAGGGCACTATAGTGCCAGGAAAACGAGTATGTTTTCCTGGCACTATAGTGGTCCTTTAAGGACCAAACTTATGGAATAAAAGGGAATCATGACATGTCACACGTCATATGTCCTTAAGGGGTTAATATTGTATCTTACAATTTTTAAGGGTCTTAACTCCCCTGAAAAGAGACAAATGACGATACGTGACTTCCTTAAAATGACAGCTGATATGGTTTTGGTACAGGAAACTCACTTTCGGTGGGCTCCTAAATTGAGACATTCCCACATTGCTACTATAACAACTTTCACTTGAGTAAAACACTAGGGGTGGCCATAATGATAAGTTCACGTACCAAAACCAGGTAACGGACACAACAGGGAGGTACATTCTTTAAGGGCTGGTGCGTACATCCCCCATCACCTTGCTAAATGTTTATCTCCCCAATAAAAAACAATGTTCCTCATTTAGGCCCATACTGTCAGTGGTCCGACTCCATGCAGAGGGATTCCTGCTCATAGGGGGTGACTTTAATATCTACCTGGATACCCAAATGAAGAGCACCTCCACAAATCCCGCCCATTTTGCTTCAGCTAGGGCCCAGATGCGCAGACTACTCCATGGCAAACAACTAGTTGACTGCTGGAGAATCCAGAACCCATCCACCAAAGAGTTTTCTTCTATTCGACCCCAAATAGAACTTAAACAAAAATAGACTATTTCCTGGTACCACACAAGGACCCATCGTTAATACGCAACACTAATATAGGTAATATTGTTTGGTCCGACCACGCCCCCATATTACTAACTGTAACAATTTCCACACTACCGACAACAAAATATCAATGGAAACTCAACCCCTATTTACTACAGAACCTCAAGGTTCGTCAGCCACTTTCGACCTCCATCACACAATACGTCTAGGAAAATAAGACTTCCGATACCACCCCAACGGTACAATGGGAAGCCCATAAGTGTGTTCTGAGGGGGAAGCTGGTAAAGTGGTGACCGCAGTTAAAAAGGGAGAAATCTAGAACTAGAAAAAACTACTCCAGGATATTAAAGACTTGAAGGACAGGCATAAATATACATTGACAGACACAGACTATTGCAAGCTAGTCTCTCTTAGGTCTGAGCCTAAGATCCTAATGGGCAGCAGCACTAAAAAGGCGGTGCTATGGATCAAACCGATTTTACTCACAGGGTGACCGGTGTGGGAGGTTGTTTGCTTCTGTGTTAAAACCCAACATCTACATACTTAAAATTAAACGGACAGACAGGACGATAGCTAATACGGCCGAGGATATTGCCATGGCATTCAGTGACTTTTATCATTACCTCTATAATTTGAAACCCCCCCCCCCCAAGCAGGGAAGAAATGAAGGCCTATCTAGAGCGTAGGTTAGATAATATCCTGCATGGAAGCTCAGACGTTAAACGCTCCCTTTACCTTAGAAGAACTGTCTAAAGCAATCCGCACAACTCCCTCTAATAAATCCCCAGGACCAGACGGCTTCTCTAGTGTCTATTATAAAACTTTTGCTGAGGAACTATCCCTCCATTTTTTTGGAATCGCTCAATTCGTTATCCAATTCGACTGCACTTCCCCCCTCTAGTCTAGAAGCCACAATCACCCTGATTCCCAAACCTGGAAAAGGCCTGCGGGAATTTTCGTCCCTTTTTACTGATTAACGTGAAACTAAAATTATTTACTAAGATGATAGCACTATGTTTAAGGCCACTTTTACAGGTATTGATACACCCAGACCAGGCAGGGTTTGTCCCAGCGAGGGAGGCTAAGGATAATTCCACCAAGATAGTGGACTTAGTGCAATGGTCACAGACAGGGGGGAACCCAGCCATCCTGTTGGCAATAAATGCTGAAAAGGCATTCGATGATAAGGTGGACAGGCCGTTCCTCATGCTTACACTGGAAGCCTTAGGTTTTGGACCTGCTTGGTTGCAGTGGATTGGGGCCATATACTCACAACCCACTGCTCGCATTAAAGTAAACTGCTTATTATCCTTGTCACTGCCCATTACCAACGGTACCCGACAAGGCTGCCCCCTGTCGCCCCTTCTGTTTATTTTAGTGTTAGAACCACTGCTTCAAGCAGTGCGCAAAAATACAGGTATCAGGGGGATACACGTGGGACCTCGGGAATTCAAGATATCCACTTTTGCTGACGCTTTACTTTTCACGATCACCAATCAGAGTACCACCCTCCCACACTTGGTAGACGAAATTACCTACTATAGCTCATTGGCTAACTTCAAAATGAACTCAGACAAATGCGAAATACTCAACTTCACGGTACAAGAGCAATTACAAAGGGAATTTCGGTTCCAGTGGGCCTCCAAATCAATAAAGTACCTGGGAATTAACATCCCTGCAAATCCTAGAACTCTATATACACTAAACTTCCCCCGATTGCTGACCACCATACAAGCGGACTTGCAGGCGTGGGACAATCCCCATCTAAGGTGGATGGGAAGGGTCAATGCTATATCGATGAATGTACTCCCTCGTATTCTGTATCTGTTCAACATACCGATACATCTCCCCAGACGGTTCTTCAGAACCATTCAAACAATGTTCACAAGGTTCATTTGGGCAGGGAAACTACCACGCTTAGCCTTCCACATTATCAAGCACCCTAAACACAAGGGAGGCTACTATGCGGTACATATGAACAGGATTCTAGACTGGTCCATACTACCCTCCCCCAAACTCTGGATACACATCGAACAGTCCTCCTCACAACCACCTCTACATGCACTCCCGTGGGCAGTTACAGGTTTAAGGAAATACCCGATCCCACAACAACTGACTATTGCAGCAACAATTTCAGTATGGTCCAAAATAACCCATCTACCTGAAATCGCTCCCACTATCTCACCGAGATATCCCATCTCGCACAGCACCCTATTTCCGGTGGGGGCAAGGGTTACAACTGGAAAATGTGGCATATGGGCCACTAGATAGTATGTGGGGACCGGAGGGGTTTAGACCTCTAACATTAGGCCTCCGCCTTTTAGCACAGGCTTTGCAATACTTCCAAGCATCGCATTTCATCAAAACCTTCAATATTCCAGAGGGGCACTCAGAGAACATACGGCGTTTGAAAGATTGTGCTCAGGTACTACAGCTATAGCTAAATCAACCTTGATGTGTCTTAAAATAATCCAACCACACCTTCACAGAGGACTCTTGTATTTCCCTCGGAAATGGGAGAACTACCTAGGGCAGGGGTGGGCAAATCTTCGGCCCTCCAGATGTTATGGACTACATCTCCCTTGATGCTTTGCTAGCATTATGGCCCTAAGAGCATTATGGAAGATGTAGTCCAAAACATCTGGAGGGCCTGCAGATTGCCCACCTCTGACCTTGGGTAGTCAATAGGAGAGAGAGACTGGGAAACACTTTTTCGGTGAGCGTTTTATGCCCACTCGAGTGTCATGTTGCAAGACAATAACTATAAATTAATCTTTGGATGGTATCTCACACCACAGGACATTAACTGTTTTCACCCAGCCACATCCCCCCTTTACTTTAGATGTGGAGGGGTGGCCATGTGCCACATATGGTGGAAGTGTAAGGGGATATCACCTTTTTGGGTACAGGTAGTGGCCACGATACAGGAAACTAAGCGCACGTGCCTCTCCCTTGAGATGGACACCCTGTTACTCTTACACACAGACACGTCCTTAACTAAATAAAAAAACTCACTACTGTATTTTATGCTCACTGCCGCCAAATCAGTAATTGTGAGCTTGTGGAACGCGACCAAGACGCTTGGCTTAAGGGAATTGATAACTAAAATTGAGTACTTCCGTACCCTGGAAAAACTCTGATGGTCGTTCCTGGGGAAACTTGCTAATAATGTTAGGATCTGGCAACTCTGGATCGCCTTCATGGGTAATCGCGTGGAGGATGCACAAACGGTGGACCTGGCTAATGTCAGATAAAGAGAAAATAAAATTTATATTTCTGCGTGAGCGATATTGTAGCTGTCCTAAACACAATCTGGCATAGCCGGAGCCTTTACCTTTAACCCGGGGGATAGACGGGATTGAGACCCACTTAGGGTACATAAACCTCAGCATTCTCCTATTTTTGAGCCACTAAAGCCTGCTTTAATGTCGCCCTCAAACAAAAGAATTATGTGTATAACGTGTGTGCTCAGAATCCTACTCTAATGTATTCTTAAGTTGTTTGTTTGATTATTGGTTCTTTTCTGTATATCTATTTTTAGTAGTTATCTCTGCATTTATCCAGTCATATGGTCTCAGCACGCTAGCAACCTGTGAGACATACATGTCGCAGGAACTCCAGGGCACTATAGTTTCTATAGGCAGCTAATACCTTTACTTAGCTAAATGTTATGCACACAGACGAAAGGATGATATGTTGAACATAAAGATAACCAGTTAACTCCTGGGGCTCCTGCCCTTTCTGGCAAAGCCTTCCTACTGCCAATATTGAAGGTACCTTCCTCAATCATATGTGCAATTGATGTACCAATTGAATGTACTATGCCTGATTATGGTTTCCTATATAACTTTTGATCGACATGTACAACGTGGAATGTATACCACCTTCTGATTGTCTTTTTGCTCCATATTTCTGATTTTTCATTCAATAAAAAGAAATTGAAAAAAAATAAAAAAAAACACCTTAACAACCTTACCCTGTTCCAAGTATGAAAGGCTCCAAGCTCAAATCCTTTATTTCAGTTGGAAATTTACCCAAATGAGGACGATTTCCAGTTGTACTATATTTTAGGTATTTCTGTGTTTTTTATTAGAAATTGTCAATGGGAGTTACATAATTATTGATTTATGTGCTCACAAGTGTCCTGCTTTTCAGGCCTGATCCTGGATCAGATAGTGAAGGAGACTGATCCGTCCGTGTTGCTGGAACTGGGCACGTACTGTGGATACTCGGCTACCAGAATTGCCCGGCTACTTAAACCCGGCGCTCGCCTCTTCACTGTGGAGATTAATCCAATACATGCTGCCATTGCCAAACAGATGATAGAATTTGCTGGAGTGCAGGACAAGGTATTGCTCTGATACTCACCCAAGTGACAATTACTGTTTTCCATCTGTACCATTACATGTTACATACATATAGGAACTCAACAATGAGAGAGAGGGAAGAATTCTAATATGCCTTATAGGAAGAACAAATCAACTATCCCTTTAGAATATGTCCATGTGCACCTTTTGTGCCTTATTTCAACATACCCATTCTGAACAGCAGTGATAGGCTGTGGAGAGTTAGTTCTGCATGCTCAGCCTATCACCGTGGTACAGATTGGACAGAATCGACACTGGTGATGCAGAAAAGTACATTTTGCATCAGCAATGTGTCTAAAAGCGTCTTTTGAAGTTTGACAAAACAGCACACATAGAATCTTGCCAAAATAATCACTACACTGAGCTGTATAGCTTAGGTTGATTAGAGTTCCCCTATAACTATTAGAAGGTCTGATTTAATGCATAAGCATGGTCAGAATGCATTGTGCTTTAAAGTAAAGTACTTTTATATTTTTAGTAAATCTAATGTTTAATTTATTAAGAGTTCTAGTGGGTTCACAATGCTGCAAAAAAAGACTCTGTGATGAGTAGAATCTCTAAATTATCATTGAAGTATAGCATTACCTTCCGATAGCTTCATTATTAAAGATTTAATTATGGTCAGATGGTCGTCCACAAACATATGGACTGCAGTCTGTCAGGCACTATTACACATCATAATCTATACATTGTTTTGGCAAAATCACCGACATTACCATGAAAATGTGTGTGTATACACATTAAAGGGAAAGTAAAATGCCAGGAAAACAAGGTTGTATAGTGCCCCCCTTCTGTCACTTACCTGAGTCCAGTGCTGATGTTTCTCTGCACTGGTTCTGATCCGCCTCTGCTCCTCCCATGACGCCATCACCCAATGGGGGACCTAATGCACATGTGCAGGCAAGATTTTCTCATGCATAGCGTGAGAACATCCAGAGTCAGTTAGGCAACAAAAAGTCGCCTAACCACCCGGAAGTCCTTCTAGTGGCTGTCTGGTAAACCACCGCTAGAGGTGGAGTTAACCCTCAAAGGTAATTATTGCAGTTTATTAAAAACTGCAATAATTACCTTTTGCAGGGTTAAGGAACCTGGGAATATGCACCCAGACCACGGCAATCAGCTGGGTGCCTATAGTGTCCCTTTAATGCTTGGCCTGCCTCTAGCAAGATATATACCAGAGTCCTACCCCACTACTAAATAATAACATTTAAACTTATCATAACACGAAGTGCAATTCGCATTGCACACAAACAGGATAAGATCACATACAGGGTTATTTACTAAAGTGAGATTTCAAAATGAATCCAAAGTAAATGTCAAATTTTAAGGCCAGAATAGCCAAACTGAAAGCATAGCTGGCTTAGAGAATTCTTTCACTTCAAATCACCTTAAATTCACACTTTATTGAATAACCTTGATAATCTTTCAATGTGAGAATGTACTGCCCTGCATAGTTCGATGACTTCGATCTTCTGCAACTTGCAAGCATTGCAGTGAACACTGCAGTGAATTCTGTTCATAAGTTGTGCTCATGAGCTGGGGAACCAGTGAATGTGATAGGGATCTAGGTCACTAGAGCAGTTTGTGGAAATTTGCCATGATGTGCATGTCTGTTTATTGTGATCTGAAATATATTGCAGTTACGTTAAAATAAAAATCTAATTTCTTAATGTAACCACCCGCCCAACACCCCCCAAAAAAATCACTTTACCAATGCTTTGTTCGTTACTTAAACTTGCCCTAAATTGGGCAATGGGGTTTCACTAACTGCAGAGAATAAATATTTCCAAACGGTGGAAGCTGAATGCATATGGTTTTAACTCATTCTGGGTAATGTTTGATAACCATTTAATTCCTCCTCCTGCAGGTGCAGGTACTAGAGGGTTCAACACAGGACATTCTCCCCAAACTAAAGACGGAGTATGCAATAGAAAACATTGACTTCGTCTTTATTGATCATTTTAGCGAGAGCTATAAACCAGACACTGTGCTACTGGAGGTGAGTGCTATCCATGGTTTAAAATAATTACTTTATTTTTTATTTTTTTATAAAAAGTAGGAAAATTCATATATAGAAATAATTTCAAAGAATAGTCAGAATTTCTATATTTACTTTATACTATAAACAGCTACAGATTAAGAATGTCATTTTAAGCTATCTTGAATTTAAAGGACCACTCTAGGCACCCAGACCACTTCAGCTTAATGAAGTGGTCTGGGTGCCAGGTCCAGCTAGGGTTAACCCATTTTTTCATAAACATAGCAGTTTCAGAGAAACTGCTATGTTTATGAATGGGTTAAGCCTTCCCCTATTTCCTCTAGTGGCTGTCTCATTGACAGCCACTAGAGGCGCTTGCGTGCTTCTCACTGTGATTTTCACAGTGAGAGCACGCAAGCGTCCATAAAATTGTAAATGCTTTCCTATGCGACGGGCTGAATGCGCGCGCAGCTCTTGCCGCGCGTGCGCATTCAGCCCAGGAGGAGGATCGCAGGAGGAGAGAAGGAGGAGAGCTCCCCGCCCAGCGCTGGAAAAAGGTAAGATTTAACCCCTTTCCTCTCCCCAGAGCCGGGCGGGAGGGGGTCCCTGAGGGTGGGTGCACCCTCAGGGCACTATAGTGCCAGGAAAACGAGTATGTTTTCCTGGCACTATAGTGGTCCTTTAAGGGACTGATCTAAAATTAGGTCTGTCCAGTCAAGTGCGCTTTTAAAGTACCCTTACTATAAATTAAATCTTGCCTGTTTCTATGAAACCATGTAGAAAATCTCAACAACCAAAGCCAGATGATGCTGCAGATAATGTAGACTTTTTGCTTCTTATCTGTACAAAGATGCCCAACCTTGGATGATAATGATAGGCTGAGAACAGTGGGTTTCGCATATTTCATTGGCAAAAGAAGGGGTTTGAGTTTGGTGATCTGGAGAGCCTTAGTTTTTGTCACACTTAGTTGACAAGATAGTTGGTGCTAGACACCTACACACTCCATAACAACCTGCATTGCATACAATAAGATGTAGTGTTTGTAGTACTTAGGGTACCTTCCATAAAATATATATCAAAACAAACTAATGCCCCAGCACGTCTTTCTTAGTCATTTTTCTTAATCCTTTTATAAAAGTGTCTTCAGTATAAAAAGCTGCAATGTTTCCCCACAACTGTGGTCTTGGTCAAGTTTGTAGTCGAAACATTGCTGCATTTTACATTGAAGAAACTTTAATAAAAGGATTAAGAAGTATGTGCTAGGACATGTCTTTAGTGTTTGTATGTGTATCGGTTGGAGGTGTAACTGGTTTCCTGAGCACCTTATGGGTAGGTGCTGCTCCTCCCCACTTTATTTTGATAAATTATGTATCAGTGCTGCCCAATGTCTTTGACGTAGGGAACTGGATGTTGTTGGTGCAACATGCTGGAAGGACTGGCATAATTAAACAAAACCTAAAAAAAACAATAATAAAGTAATAATACAACACATTATTATTTTAGATTTCCAATCTATTGTATGTCTTTACCCTAACCCCATTTTCCCTAAAAAAATTTTTTACCGGTGGGGGCATGGCTTGTCGGTGAATGGAGTGAGTCACACTTTGCCGGAGCTCCGCAACTTCGACCCACAAAGCCCCAAATAAATGCCTACCAGCATACTCAAAATGGGGAAAACCAGACGCCAAGGCACCCCGGGACCCTCGGACAACAGCCCACCGAGAAAGCACGCGGTCCGATGGACGACTTTCTCTCCACCCCGGATAGCTTCCGAGCCATGAGGCCCGCGGACAAGATGGCGGCCGCCTCCCCGGGAGCTGAGAGCGTCGCGGACTCAGAGCCTAGCTTAGCAAGAGGTGAGGCCCTAACGCAAATTACAGCTGAACTGGCGGCCATCTTGGCCAACATGTTCACTAAACGGGATAAAGCTGCCATGTTCCCGCAGCTGAGGGTGGCGATACGGGAAGAGATATTGGAGGTACGCAGGGATCTCACAGCCCTTGAAGAACGTGTCACAATGAAGACCTTGGTGAAGCCCTTACACAGCTCTTTACCCACATCTTGGGCGAGGAGGCCCCAGACGACTTCCACATAGAACGTGCCCACAGGGCCCTACGTCCCCTGAGGAGAGATGGCCTCACACGCGACGTGATATGTTGCCTTCTGTCTTTCCAGCTTAAAGAAGCCATCGTGCGAGCGGCACACCCGCAAACCGTCACCTTCCACAAAGCCTCCATATCGCTGTATCAGGACTTGTCCTCCCTCACTATAGATGCCCGGAGGGCACTGCGGCCGCTAACGTGCATTCTTCAGGCGAAACGCATACCCTATAAGTGGGGTTTCCGCTTTTGCCCCCAAGCCAAAAAGGAAAATACGTGGCGCTCCATGCGATGGCCCAATGAACTACCCAGCTTCCTGAGAGCCTTAGACCTGCCACCAGTCACCATCCGCAGTTGGATCCTAGATCAGCCGCCACTGTGCGCAAATCATTCTGAGGTTCCCGAGTCTCTGCGCAACCAAGCACGGAGAGAAGCGCAACCCACGTGCTGGGGAGGCCCTAATGGACCCGAGGAGTAAACACCTGTATCTTAGACCGAGCCCGGAGACCGTCAGCCCTTCCGGACCGGCATCGCCCTCAAGGGTGCTCCCCGGGCGACAACGATGAAAGCTAAGTAATTAAACTTACACCTACACGGGAACTCCCATCTCAATGGCCGGGTGGATACCAATATGTGAAGCCTGAAAAGGACTCACGACGCTCCCGGGATAACACGTGTAGAAGGGGTTGGGAAAGTTCACCTTGAGGCCTCTGCCGATTTTGTGGGTGGGGAACAGGTGCAAAGCTTAACTGAGACTGCCTGGAAAAACAGGGATTCTTAGGCCCAATGTGACTCAGCGAGACAAACCAGATCTCCCACTTGCCTTCACATTGCCGGTGACCGAGAACTTAACCACATACCGGCCAGACCCCACCCCCTACACCTAACTGTCCCCCAAGGCCATTCTGAGGTACCCCTAGGCTCACATGCTGCAAGGGAGCCTGCACGGGCGTAACGGGGAGATATATGGTCCTAACCGGCTGAACATGTGCGGGGGGGGGGGGAGTCTTAGCGGTCATGTCTGCTTGCTACACTCTGTTTTATTTTGTTCTACCATGGCTGTGGTGCTTCACAAACTGAAATGTGTTTTTCTTTTTTTTTATGTTCAGTTTACAGACAGTCACGGCCGTGGCCTCAAAGCCGCTTAACTTAATATTGTAACGTAATGTGCTGACTAAGTTATGGTACAAGCCGAAAAAGGGTTCTTTAGTTTAGCTTAAACCCAGCCACGGACGTGGCCTCAAGACCGCTTTACTTCATTTTGTAAGGTAATAGGCTGACTAAGTTATGTTACAGGCCGAACAGTGTTCTTATGTTTAGCTTACAATCAGCCACGGACGCGGCCTCGGGACCACTTAACCTAATATTTTACTATTGTGAGCTGACTAAGCTATGTTACAAGCTGGAAAGTGTTCTTATGTCCAGCTTAATAACAGCCACAGATGCGGCCTCGAAGCCGCTTCACTAAATATTGCAATGTGGTATGCTGTCTAAGTTATGTTACAAGCCGAAAAGGGCTCCTATGTCCAGTTTAGAACCAGCCATGGAGGCGACCCCAATACCACTTAACTTAACATTGTAATGTAATACGCTGACTAAGTTATATCACAAGCCGAAAAGTGTTAGTATGTTTAGTCTAAAGTCAGCCACGGACACAGCCTTGAGACCGTTTACCTTAATATTGTAATACAGTGAGCTGACTAAGCTATGTTACAAGCCGAAAAGTGTTCCTATGCCCAGTTTAGAATCAGCCACGGACGCGGCCCCAATACCGCTTAGCTTAACATTGTAATGTAGTAAATGTCAGCCGCGGATGCGGCCTTGAGACCGCTTAACTTTTTATTGTTATTGTAATGTGATATGCTGACTGAGTTCTGGGACAAGCCAAAAAATGCTACTGTGTCCAGTTCAAAATCACCCACGGACGTGGACTCAATTCCGCTTAACTTAACATTGTAATGTAGTATGCTGACTAAGTTATGTTAATATTGTGTGCTGACTTAGTTAGGTTTCAGAAGCCACCCGAGCACAACGAACACACGGTGCCGACACCAAAAGTATGACACCCCCCCATCGGGACACCAAATAATTCCCCCCAAGGAGTGACCTACACCTCCCCCCCCCCCGACTTAGACCCACACCACTGAATATGAGACCACCGTCTGTCCACCATTGGGTGGACCACCCCCTGCCCTGAATCACTTGGCCCAGTGGGACAACCCCACCCTGGATGAGAAAACATGACAGAAACAGGAACCCCCTCAAAGCCCATTATTCCACAATACTAGTAACGTGAGAGGCGTGCCGCCAGACTGGTCGACCGACCAGCGGCTTGCACAAGGCTAGACGGGGATCTAAATGACCGGCCCTTCAGCGAGACCCGGGTCGTATCACCCAAGTGCCCGTTCTGTCCCCCTTCAGTGAGACAACCCATTCTCACTGATCGTAGTAGACATAATAGAAACCCTATAACGTGGGTCGAGGGAGAGCGGATACCGGACTCCCCAGGCGGACTTAACCAACCAGACTTCCTTGTCCCTCAGCAACTGACCCTCTTGTATATTAGGTCTCCCCCATACGACCTAGGGCCACAGTTGCCTACTATTTCAAAGCCATCAAAAGGCTAACAACCTCAGACAGACACAGTAACCAAACCGCCCCCCTCCATTACCTGCCCCACTTTCCCCTCACCCCCACTCCCCCTTTTTTTTTCCCCCTCGGGGCCCCAGGTCCCGGCTCCCCCTGCTGGGTGGCCCAGCAAACATGGCGACCGGCTTCTACCCCGCGCTTTTACTCCTACGATCGCACAACGTAAGGGGCCTTAACACCCCCGAAAAAAGGCGACACTTGCTAAGGACCCTGTGGTCTCAGAAGACCTCGATAGCATTTATCCAGGAAACACACCTTAAAGGGAAGGACGCCCCCCAGATAAGGGATAGAAGATTCCGCCAGGGATTTTACGCCAATAACCCCGAAGCTAAACGTACGGGTGTTGCAATCATCTTTGCCCACTCTATCCCATTCATAAGCATTGCATCGCAAGCAGACCCCCTGGGCAGGTTCCTATTTGTGAAAGGCACGATCACAGACCTCAAGTACACTTTCGCCACAATATTCTGCCCCAATAAGGGACAACACCGATTCCTAGCAAAAGACCTTGCACAGTTAGAGAGGTTTAGAGATGGAACCCTGGTGCTGGCCGGAGATCTCAACATCCCACTGGATCCCCGGATGGACTAGTCCGTGGGCACCAGCACCATCCCCCCACACTGTATAAGGAAAGCTAAACAGGCATTGGTCAGGTCAGGCCTGGTCGACTGCTGGAGGGTGGCGCATCCCGAAGCCAAAGACTACACATGCTACTCTGCGGTACACAACAGATATAGCAGGATTGACTATATTTTCCTTGCCCAAGAGTACCTTCCCTTCCTGATCACATCCGCAATAGGGATACAACACGACTCGGACCATGCCCCAGTTCAAGTCACGCTTAAATCACCACTCTTCAAACCTCGGGAGCGCCAATGGAGACTCAATGAAAGTGTACTGACAGACACCAATTTCACCACACAAATTGCACAAACACTGACCAAATACTTCACCGACAACGACAGTCCCGACGTTGCCCCCCTTACGGTGTGGGAAGCACACAAATGCGTGATTCGGGGACAATTTATTAAACTATGCACCCAACAGAAGAAGGAACACGCCGCAAAAATCCAAGACTTGGCACACACGATAGCAGAACTAGAGACACGACACAAACGGGACCATACGGACGACACTTATCGCCTCCTCACTGACAAGCGCAGGCAGCTTAGAGACCTACTTTCCTAGAAACTGCTACACACTATCCAAAAATCAAATAGGTATTTTTACGAATTCTCCAACAAATGTGGGAGAACACTAGCCCGCACCCTGCAACAAAAACAGAGGCAACACCACATTCATCAAATTATGGGGAGGGATCACCGGCACGCGCGGGGTTGGGACGCGGGGGGTGGGGGGGCTGGCGGATCCACCCCTTCCCTTCCCCCCGCCCTGGTCGACAACCCCCTTCCCTTCCTCACCTACCCCCCCCCCTTTTTTTTTCTCCTCTCCTTCTCTGTTCCGCTACTTCTTCTCTTCCATACCACGTAGGCTGACCTTACACTGACACACCCCGGACAGATATTGGTCACTGACTTTTTAACGTAGAGTCATTCTCTCAAGCCAAATTCCCGTGCAGGACGAAAGCAGGAGGAGAGATTAGTCCCCTCCCCAAAGTGGAAAGGGGGGGGGGGAATGAAAGGGAGGAAAACAAGAGGAATACTCGATTTCCTTACCCTCTCTTCCCCCGTAGAGATACAGGGAACATGTTCTAAAGTTCAGTTCGCGCAGTTGCGCTCGGTTGTTCAGTTACTCACAGAGACTGGGTAGGGACACACAGGCGGGAAATAGGGAGGGAGCATTGCCGTATGTGCGACAATATGCTTGATGTCTGTAAGCTTTACAATTCTTTATTATCTGTTTGTATACATACTGTGCTTCAATAAAAACGAAGATTGCCAAAAAAAAAAAAAAAAATTATGGGGAGGGATGGGACGATGAAAAGGGCCCCGACAGACATCCTCCTGGCTTTTAGGCTCTTTTATTCGGAGCTATATAATATCAACGCCACCACACGACGGACGGAGACATCACAACGCCTACATAGGGTGAACGCCTTCCTCTCGAAATACGTCGGACGTAAGCTCTCGGAGGAATTAGCAGAGGAACTGGAACAGCCTATTACCGAGGAAGAGCTCGCCGCTGCCCTTAAATGATCTAAATCCAACAAAGCCCCGGGCCCCGACGGCCTACCGGTCTTGTACCTGCGCAAGTTCCAGGACGCACTGTTACAGCACTTGTTACAGGGCTTTAACTCCCTACTAGAGGGCGGTAGGTTCCCAGCAGACACCTTACACGCGACGGTGACGGTCATACCAAAGGAGGGGAAGGACCCCACCAATTGCGGGAGTTATAGACCGATCTCGCTCCTCAATTCCGATCTCAAATTGTTCGCCAAGACCTTGGTCCTGCGACTCTCCCGCGTGCTCCCCACGCTGGTTCATCTGGATCAGGTGGGATTCGTCCCGGGAAGGGAAGCGCGGGGCAATACCATACGAGCCCTCAACATGATCCATTCTGCCCGGTCGACAAACAAGGACCTGGTACTGGTCTCCACAGATGCAGAAAAGGCCTTCGACCGGGTAGACTGGCAGTACCTCGAGGCCACCCTCCGCCATATGCAATTCGGCCCCCATATTCGCTCCTGGATACTAGCACTATACACTACCCCGACAGCCTGCATACGGATTAATGGCGCACTCTCGGCCCCGTTCTCCATCCGCAACGGGACCAGGCAGGGCTGTCCCCCCTCCTGTTTGCCCTCACTCTGGAACCCTTCCTGGAGGCGGTCAGACGAGATGTGAGTATTACGGGGTACAGACTGCACCACACGGAGCATAGGGTTGCCGCATATGCGGACGACATGTTATTTTTCCTCGATGACCCCGCGATCTCCCTTCCCAACCTCCTCCGAGCCTTCAGGGACTTTGGCGACGTTTCCAACCTTAAGCTGAACATGAGCAAATCGGAGGCCCTACCGATCTCACTCACAACAGGGAGGGTCGCGCACCTCCGTTCACAATTCCATTTCTCGTGGTGTGACACCAAACTAAAATACCTCGGGGTCTGGCTACCTAACTACCTGAATCTCCTATACCAGTTAAAATTCCTCACCATTCTCTCAGTCTTACAGTCTGACCTACACCGCTGGAGGAGTCTCTATGTCTCCTGGTTCGGCTGGATTAATGGCGTTAAAATGAATGTTCTACCGCGCCTTCTGTTTTTGTTTCAAACGATCCCCATATCCATACCCAGAGCCTTCTTTCAATCACTCTCCACGGCAGTGCGGAAGTTCGTATGGAATGGGAAGGCGAGCAGGGTCAGCAAGGCGCTGCTAGAACGCCCCAAGGCCCGAGGAGGTGCCGGACTCCCATCCTTCCTGGGATACTACTACGCCGCCCACCTACTCAGGACAGTAGATTGGCATGCACGCCCAACAGCTAAACTATGGGTGCCCATGGAACTCATGCAGACAGGCGGCACTCTCACCTGTGGCGTGGATCCCTAACACTAGGATCTCTACGAATCGGCAACCCAATGATTGATGCTACGCTATGAATCTGGTGCATGCTGCGATACGCTCACCAACTCGCCACCACAGATGGCCCCCTCACACCCATCACACACAACCCAGATGTCGGAGGGGGATTAACATCTGCAGACCTGCGCACATACACCGACACCGACTGGCTCAGCTTTCATCAACTATTGCAGGGGGATCGACTCAAGCCTCTGACTGATATTCTCGGGGACAAGATACCCACAGGCCTAGACAACTTCCATTACCTTCAAATACGGGCATACTATGCGGCCTTCCTGAACAAACGGTGCCTACACAGAATCCCCACACAGTTTGAAACACTCTGCACCAAAAGGGCTCACCCTGAGAGGGGAGTCTCCATGCTATACGCACTTCTCCTTGACGGAGAAAACCTGCCACATCCAAGATACATAACTAGATGGGAGAGAGAGACAGGGACCACGCTCACAGAACAGGAATGGGAAAAGATATTTATATTAACACATAAATGCTCCATCAGCTCCAAATTCCAGGAGACGAGCTTTAAGATCCTAACACACTGGTGCAGAGCCCCAGATATTCTGCATCGTATAAACGCGGAGATGCCCGTCAACTGCTGGAGATGCGGCGCCAACGATGGCTCCGCTCTCCACATCTGGTGGGGCTGCCCCGGTATTGCCCCCTTTTGGACAATGATTCGAGAGTCCATCCAACAAATCACGGACATTGCCCTGCAGTTCCAGCCCCTCACCATGCTACTACACCACACAGACATGACCCTTTCAGCATACAAAAAATCCCTAATAAACACCTGCTGACAGCAGCCAATTCCCTGTTCCCCACAAGGTGGAAGCAAAGGGATGCGCCCACGCTCCGGCAGTGGATAGACAGGGTGGGAGACATCTACAACATGGAATCCCTTACAGCAGCGCTGCATGATAGACAAGAGAAATGTACTCGCACTTGGACGCCCTGGCTGTGGTACCTCTCGGCAGTCGGGGCGGGGAACCGGAGGCCCTCTGACTCACCCCTTCATACCCCCCCTCTTCTCTCCCCCTTGCCACCCTCCTGCCCTGACAGACGGACTGACCGATGACCGGGAATTGACCCCTCTGACGACTACTGCGTAGAGAAAAGCACCCGTGACAACAGCCGCAAGTCGGCTTCCGACACAACGGACGTCGGATCCACCTAACACCCGGATGGCCATATTTACCTAATTAAGACACCACATACCAGTTAAACGCATAGGCCTCAGTCAAGGCCGTAACACAGATATCCTGCACAGGCACGACCCACTAGCCCCACAACTACTGACTGAAGACCAAGCTGTTACATCGGTCCTTTATCCGGTGCTAGTGTGTACCAAACCCTGTCACTGATACCCTAAAATGCCACTACGTGTACCCAGAGAGACAACGATTAACGCTCATGGTAATAGTGGCCAGGGGACACGGCAGTACATTGCGCCGCTATTGCACCGATAATACCTACCGTAACTCGTTGACTGCACTTTAGATCTACGCAACTTGGTGCGTTGTGTTCATACTAATACCATCACAGGACCAGGTTAACTTTTTGTTCCTTATACCCATTGCCGCCCAAATGATGTTTGATCTTACATATCATAAAAGCTATCACTTTGTACTCTGTTCACTAATTGTCAAACTGTAACCATGACGAAAGGCAAAAATAAAGATTGTCAAAAAAAATAAAAAATATTTTTTTTTACTGTGGACTCTTTTCTTTCCTATCTGCCAATGTCCTCCATCTCCCCAGTCAAAATAATTTCTATCATCAACCTGTGAGTGATCCCAATTTCTTTCTATGTCCAAAAGTCTACTTTTACCACCATTCCTGCTCAAATCTAATACTTAAATCCTCCCACGTACTTCAATCATGAACCCTTACTCTTCAGCTCCCTCCTTTTATTTAATCTCCCTCTTTCAAACCATCTGCTTTGTTCCTTCCCTGTTACCACTGTCCCAATAAAGTTTGCCCCCTTTAAAAAAAAATATTTAATCTCCCCTCCCCACCCTGTTTGTGTTCTCCTTTCTACATTCTAAGTATCTCCCCCATAGTCATTTTCTCTTCCAAAATCCATCTCCAACACCTATCCCTCTTCCCTTTATTCTATCTTGCTCCATCATTACATATTTCTCATTTGCCTCCTCATTCAGTTGCTTCTGTTCATTCACCCTTCTCTTCATATGCAGTTTCCCTACCTCTTACTACCTGTCTTCATCATGCCCAGTCTCTCTATGTTCAGCATTCTGTTCTCTTGTCAGGGGCATAACAAGGTTCCAGAAACATATGTTACGTCCCTTCCTCCCATAAACAGCATGCTGCTCATATTCTCCATGATTTTAATGATAGCATGTCTAGAAACAAGCAAGTGTTGCTGCCAGGTGCCTAGCAGCACATACCTGTCCTGGGGAGTCCGCAGCGCCATAGAGGCTGGTCCATGACAATCATGGCACCCAGAGCTTTCTCTCTCCTGCTGGCTGTCCTGGCTTGCCCCTTTTTGGATGCCTTGCCTCGGTTTGTGTCTGCATATTAAAAGCCCCAGTGCCACCACAGACCTGCCAGGATCCTGTCTCCATATCCAAGTCTCCACTGAGAGTCATGTGTGTAAGGGAGTGCTCTTTCACGGCGCTTTAGTTCCAAACCACTAATTGGCTCCAGGTGGGTCATCACAGCTGCGCAGCCAGGTATTTAGTGGTATCCCGCCATGCTATCTAACAGAGGGATGTGCAGCAAAGTTCCCCAACACCTCCTCCTGACCACCTACACCCCTAACTAGCCTGACAAAGCACTATACTACTGATAATTCTTTGTGTAATAGGTTGCTGCTTTCAAATGTCATTGCCATGTCTATGGATATTAAAATAAAAAATAAAAAAAATAGCGTTTTAAAAGAATTCTGTCGCCAATGGTAAAAAAAAAAAGGATCCTAGCAGGCTGCATGTGGTTTTTGCACTGCCAGTTAGACAGCACTTATATAAATACTGGTTTAACAAGCGTCTGGTGCTTCTGTGGTATGTATCATGTGATGTCAGAGAAAGTAAAGGTGACTAGACGGAGAGAAATAACAAAGAAAAAATACATTAGAAGTTATACTTATTGTTTCTACCTGATGAAGTCTTGGCTCTGTAAGAACATTAAAAATGTATAATAGTAATGTCTACAACTTAAAATGTTTTTATTAGGAAAAAGTACCGTTAATGGATATTACAAAATTCCATCTTCATATTACTTTGCAAACCATTTAAAAAATCTGTCTTATTTTCATGATTAATGTTGAGGAAAAATGCTTGAAGATACATTTATTTTCTGAAAGTAGTTGTATTCACAGTATAATTTGCATACAAGATATGCATTGAAATATCTAACTTGGGACAATTCCCAGACCGCTACTATAGTAACCAGTGTAGTAAAAAGCAAGAATAAAGGCAATTGATCAAAACCCACTTATCAAATCACATACCTTCCAAGTGTCTCTATTTAGTCCCATTCCTGCAACCCCTTTGCACTGGGGTTGCTGGGAGCTTAAAAAAAATGCATCATGGCTCATTAACCACGTTCAACGTGAGTCAATACCACATGCATTGGCCTGAGGTTCCTTAAAGGATCACTATAGTGTCAGGAAAACAAATCGGTTTTCCTGACACTATAGTAACCCTGAGGATGCCGCCACCCTCAAGGTCTCCCTCCAGTGGTGCTGAAAGGGTTAAAACCCCTTCAGTTATTCACCTTCTTCCACCGCCAGGCTCCCTTACCTCTCCTCCCCCGCTGACGTCAGCGGAGCGGAATGCGCATGAGCAGCAGTGCCCCGCGCGCATTCAAAGTGTCCATAGGAACGCATTTTTCAATGCTTTCCTATGGACGCTCTGCGTGATGAATGCATAATATGCCTCCAGCGTCGCAGATGCGCCTCTAGTGGCTGTCCTTAAGACAGGCACTAGAGGCTGGCTTAACCCCAAATGTAAACATAGCAGTTTCTCTGAAAACTGCTATGTTTACAGCAGGCAGGGTTAACCCTAGAGGGACCTGGCACCCAGGCCACTTCATTGAGCTGAAGTGGTCTGGGTGACTATAGTGTACTTTGGTAATAGAAAATATATGGACCCAGAGACTGGTGGCTTCATTAAGTCCTACCTACATTTGTGGTAATGTTAATTGGATCCTCAGTCTTTGGCCAAAAATATCTCCTCCTCCTACCCAACAACAGTGTCCTTATAACCCAACCCACCAATAACCAGTGACTAGGGTCTTCACATTCTCATGCACTAGACACATGTCAGGGAAGTATCATGGGGGACCCACCGCACATAAATAAATAAAGCGAATATGGGAATGTGTTAAATATACAACTTATCAAATTACGGTAACTAGAGTCTCAAAATTCAACTTATTCTCTTTAAACAACTGAAATGGCATTGATTAAAAATGGTAATGGTAATTATAAAATGAATATACCATACAAAAAAAAGTCACATTACACTCCATTAGATATCTAATGCTATTTTGTTAGGTATATGTTCTAGTGTTGTGTAATTGGCAAATAGTTTTTGAATTCTCTACCAAAGAAAATGTGCTTAATGAGGTAATAATTCCTCATCCCTTACAGCTTTCTACAGGCAAAATATATTATCACTAGAAAGTCTATTAGTACAATGGCGTCATGTCAATCTCCTTGTATTCCTTTAACAGTGAAACATATGATCTTAAGTTACACCTGATAGTATGGGAGAATTTTCCCTCCTTCCTCTCCAGTTTTTACAATACAAGGGCATGATCAGTGTTCAGTGTCACTTCTAGTTCCCATTTAATTACAACTGGCAAATGGATTTTAATAGTGCAACACTTAGTGTACATTTGGAAATGTTTCTTATAGCCTTTAACAGAAATACTTGTATTTATAATTACTTTTTTAACTTTTTACTTAAAGTGGACTCTCAAACTTACTTTCCTCTCCTTCTCTTCAACTTTTGAAATCGGCTCATCTTTTCTTAATTTCTCATCTATTTTTCTTTAAAATATAATAAAAAGTAGGGACTTTTATCTTATATATTTTTTCCATGCCTGACAACCTTGACAAAGGGTAGAGCTTAAAGAAAACTCTACTATCTTGACAAGGGAAGCAGAGCTTGCCTTATGCCTTAAACTCCACCCCTTTGATTAAAATAAATACACAAGACAAAGAAGTCCCCCTACTTTCTTATGTTTTAAAGAGAAATAGGTCAGAAAAGATTAACAGATTCTGAAAGAGGATGAGAAGAAGAAATAACAAGAGAAAGGTAAGTTTGAGGTGTGACAAAGTTACTCTAACTATAATTGGAGGGACAAACTTAATATGTGTGAATCTTTCTTTATTGTACACAGGACCTTGGGTTACTCAGAAAAGGCTCCGTATTGGTGGCAGATAATGTTTTATATCCAGGCGCCCCAGAATTCCTTGAGTATGTCAGGACAAGTGTTCGATATGACTGCACCAACTATCCTGCCCACGTGGAGTACATAAATAAGCCAGATGCACTAGAAAAGGCGGTGTTTACAGGATAGGCTTACAGGAGTTATTTATGCAAACAGCCTTATGGTAACGTAAGCCGGATTGTAATACTTGCTGTTGTTATGCATTAAAAAATTGGATTGTATGTTGAATGCTACTGCTGGTGAACATAAAAAATAAAGATTTACAAATGAAATACAAATAAAAAAAAGGATATCTACACAAACCAAAAGGTACTCAAAATCTTAAGCTGGGCCTTACAATATTAGTTTCAATTCCATTCTTGCACGTGCCAAATATATCATTACATTTTCTGATCATTAGGGTTTGATAGTGGACATTTTAACATGGGCTTCCAGGCTTTTCTAGCTACACCTCTAAATGGGAATAAATTGAGTTCTCCATCATTTTCAGGCATCTGTAGAAGGTGTAGATGCCCAGGAGTGTTTGTAGGGAGAAATCTATAGAGCGTAACTTAAAAAGAAACAAAATGGCAGAAAAAATGCAAACTTACATTTTGATAAGACCCCTAAAAGTGCCATTCCTGCTTAAGGTGTGGCACTGGGAGACACTTAATAGACATATACTTAAGTAAAGCGCTCCTGAGCTGGCATCCCTATCTTTTTGTGCAATGTCCATCTCCATTTCTTAGTGTTTCATCCACCAGGTCCCTGTGTCAAGATGACGGGATCCACCAAAGAACTTATCCTGAGGTATGCATGAAAATGCCTTTTCTAACAGCAGATGTTAGCGATGACAATTTCAATGAAATCCCAACACATTCAGTCTGAGTATTTAACAAAGATTGTTTCTTTATGAAATACACAGAAGTCACAAAGCTATTTTAATTTTAAAACTTCTGCAATGATCCTTCTCTACTCCTTACACAACATGACAGCCACCACTATTTGCTGGATATGGTAAATCTATTTTGCTCCTTTTTATCTCCCTTCCATGATGCATAGGGAGAACCTGTTTTCAGTGTACAAGAATAAGGGCAATGGAATGTTTGTGTTTTTACAGTTTGTAGGAGAAGAAAGGGTGTTACAGTGACCTAGTAAGGAGAGCCAGATTAAGTTTTGTAAGAGGAATAGTGGATAATATCTAGGAATGCACCAAAATTTCGGCCAAAAATGGGCCTATCCCATTTCGGCCGAAAATCGGTCAAATCTGCCAAAAATTACACCCCACTGCCTCACTGACAGCCCCCAACCCAGCGCTGCCCCCACAGACAGCCCCCTTGACACAGATCCTGGGCGTGGAAGCTCCTGTGCTGTTTCCAGGTGAGCAGCGAGCAGGCTGTGCCCGGTGTCCCCAGTCTGGGCTGCCCTCGGGGACATGCCCTGGCGGGGAATGGAGGACAGGGAGGACCTCCGGATGGTACCTGTCACATGGAATCCCACGGGGAAGGGAAACCATTAGATGTCACTCCCAGGATTCACCATCCGAGTCCAGCCGCAGTGGGGGGTCTCGGGTACCGGCAGGGTGCGGGAACACGGCTCTCAGCCCCGCCCACCGGGTGGCCCCTTTCTACCATCAATGTGTTCATCCGGGTGGGGGTGGGGAGTTTACAGGAAACCACAGAGCAGAGGCCCACACTTCCTCAACTGGCGTTCTAGACAGGAGGAAGGAAGCAGGGGCTAGCTTTAGGATTGCTAAATGCACCATTTTTTGTGGACACATATCATCGCTACATAGAGGGTGGGCCCCACTGGAAAAGTGCTGCCCTGTTGTATTCTTAATTTAACAGAGATGTGTTTGTAATAGCTGTGAAATAAAATTAAATGTTAAAATCCACATTGTTGTATTCAGCAACTTTCTGGAACTGAGCACCTCCTTCATTGTCAGTAATGGAGATAGATAGAAGCTATGGTATTTCTAACACCCTCCCTCAGTCATTCTCACTAATCACCCCCTCCATCAGTCACTCTGTCACCCCCACCCTAAGTCATTCTCACCAGTCACCCCCTCCCTCAGTCACTGTCACCAGTCACCTCCTCCATCAGTCATTGTCACCAATCACCCACTCCCTCAGTCACTTTGTCACCCCCTCCCTCAGTCATTGTCACCAGTCACCCCCTCCCTCAGGAACTAAAAGCAGCCCTGGAATTTTTTTTTATACCAGCCCAATAATGCGTCGTGCCAGCAGAGTGCAGATATAGAGGTGGAAAAGATAACTTGAAATTTAAGTTACTCCAACGTGAAAGTTATCTTCTGAAGTCCTATGAGTGTGCTCTTCACTTTGAATATGTTACTGTGTTGGAGTGTGAACCTAGCAACAAGACTGGGCCAATATGTGTTCATTAAACATATATATTATATGCTAATTAAATTTTTGTATGTATTATGCATATATATGTGTAAATATTAGAGGCAAACTTACATATATTTATTATTATTACACACATTAATATACATATATATGTATGTATTACTGTCAGAATCACACCAATTACAACTTCTGTCTGTGTAGTGTGTTAGGAGGATTGCTAGTAAAATGTATATATAGGAAGTAGAATTTATTTAATAAGAGGTCTTTCTCTCACCTGTTAATCAACTCTTCGGTATAGATTACTTTGCTGAAGAGCTGAGTTACAGGAAAAAGGTGCACCCCCCCCCCAAAAGAATATGCATTGTTACCTGTAATTCTATTGTCCCCCTTGAATTTCTTACCCCCTTTTTTGTTTCTTATCACCTCTTGATTATCTCTTACACCCCCCGTATGTACCTCTTATTTCCTCCCAGCCACTTTGTAGAAAAAGCACGTCTCATATATATTTCTCTACTTTCTTCTTCTTGTTGGGTGGCTCATCGAGATGTTATTATAAATATAGAATAATTCTTCTGACATTACTAATATATTAAAATAAAAATAGCAAAGGATGTTACAGGATCATGGATGTTCAACAGCAGATGTTAGTTGCTGTACTCAGGAAAAGACAGACTGAGTCTTCAAAGTCACAGAACAAACAGCTTACAAGCCTTGTGGTCATTTGTCCACTATTCTATATAGCTACGACCATAATGACATCAGACCTTTTAGCTAAAACTCTGGCCATATAAGGACACATACCCTCTTTATATGCAACCACATTCCAGAATTCTCAAACAAAGAAAGCCATGTCTTATTTAAATACAGATACCCATAATAGAATATGCAATATTCTACCTTTGTGTGTCTCTTTTTACTGTATGCCACTCCTCCAAGTCCCTTTTGAGTCTTTCTATCCCAAGCCCCTTTTGTGTGCCTCTGCCCCCATGGCTCCTCTATGTCTCTTTCTCACCCACAGTCCCTGTGTGTCTCTTGCTCTACCACAAGCCCCTCTGCGTCTCTTGCTCTCCCAAGCCGCTCTTTGTGTCTCTTGTTCTCCTTTCTTAGCCACTCGGAGTCTCATTCTCCCCAGCTCCTCTATGTGTCTTGATTCCCTTGTGTATCACTTTCTTGTGCCCCAGCACCTCTGTGTGTTTTATTCTCCCCAGCCCCTCTGTGTGTTTTATTCTCCCCAGCCCCTGTGTGTCTCTTGTTCCTCTTTCCCAGCACCTCTGTGTGTCTCTGTCTCCCCAAGCACCTTCTGTCTCCCCCACAGTCCCTTTGTGTGTCTCTTCCTCTCCCCAAGCCTCTGTGTGTCTTTCTCCCCCACAGCCATTATGTGTGTCTTGCGCTCCCCAAGCTGCTCTGTATCTCATTCTCCTCTTCACCATCCCTTCTGTGTCCATTTTACAATCCCTCTTTGTGTTTCTTGTTCCCCTTTTCCAGCCCTGCTGTGTGTCTCTTTTTCTCCCCAAGTCTCAGCTACTTTGTGTCTCTTTCGACCCCCGAACCCCTCTGTGTGTCTCATTCTTCCCAACCTCTCTGTGTGTTTTGTTCCCCCTCCATGTGCCTAAATCCTCTGCCATGTGTCTTCTTCCCCCAAGCTCCATTTGAGTATTTCTTCCCCACTCATCTTTCTTTCCCTGTGTCTCTTTCTCAGTGAACTGTGTCTCTTTCATCTCCACAGCCCCTCTGTGTCACTTTCATCACCCACCCTTCTTTGTGTCTCTTTCTCAGTGAATATGTGTGTATTTCTCCCCAGAGGCCCATATGTGTCTGCCCCTCCACCCCTCTGTTGCTCTATTACTCTCCCCAAACCCTTTTGCATGTTTCATTCTCTCCCACAGCCCATATGTGTGTCTTATCTCCCCAAGCCCCTTTGTGTGTCTCTCTGTCCTGCACAACCCCTCTATGTGTCTCTTTCAACCCCAGTCCCTCTGTGTGCCTCTTTCTCCCCTTTAGCTCCTCTTTGTCGCTTTCTGTTCCAGCCTCTCAGGGATGCTTTCTTGGTTAGGCCCTCTGTGCGCCTCTTTCTCCTCTTCAGCCCCTCTGTGTGACTATCTCCCCAAGTGCCTGTTTGTCTTTTTCTCCTCCCAAGCCCTTCTGTGTATCTCCCCCACTTATCTGTGACTCTTTCTTTCCCCAAGCGCCTGTGTGTCTTTCTACCCCCACAAGCCACAGAGTGTTTATAGCAGCTAAAAATCACTCTGTAACTTGTCTGACACATTTTAATAAGTCCTTCACAAACTTCACACAACGGCACTCCTAATAGAAATCTCAACTCTCATTCTCCCAAACTGCAATAAAGCTCTGTTGATCTTTAATCTCAATGTCCACACGCTGTGCATGAGGATGTTGTCAGGATAATCTTATCCCCAACATGCAGAATCCAAGCAACCAAATAGAAATCACTAAAACGTAGTACTTACAGGGGGGATTAAATGTAAAAACTAGAATGAACAGGACACACAGAGGTCCGAAGGTAAATGGGGAGACAAGCTAAGGTCAAGGAGAGTAGAAGTCAGATCAGCCAAGGTACAAGCCAATAGTTGATAACACAGTGCAATAAATGGAAAAACTCACTTTTGGATATATAAGAAATAGAAACCACAACAGGGCACTGAACAAATGTCTAATCAAAGTTTAAATAGCCCTGATATTGGCGATAACATGAAATCCGTGTGTGTGACGTATTCATGATGACGCACGTATGTTCGCGTCATACTCCTAGGCAAAGCCTTTAAATTACTCTGATCCACAACAGCCAGTGTCAGATAACACGCCGGACATGAGCGCTGCCACTTGGGATGGAGACTGCTGCAGCACACCCTGGATCCTGGTCAGCCGTGTGAGAATGTGCTGAGGGTAAGCGCAACCTGTGGCTGGTTTGACATGCGTCCACCATCTACAAAATCTCCATAGGAGAGCATTGATTCAGTAGTTTCCTATACTGCTTGCGCAGCATAAGTATTAGGTCCCCCTCATCAGCTGAAGTCAGTGGAGGATAACCGCAACTCAGCACCGAGGGACATTGGTACTGAAGTCTGGTAAATGTTTAAAGGGTTATTTAACCCTTTCATCTACCAGGGACATTTTTGTATTCCCAACTTAAGTGTTCCTTTAATAGATTAAAATCACTAGGGGACACTGTTAAATTGCTAATTGACTGTTACAAACCCAGTGGCGTCTCAAGGATTCATATTTAGAGGGGGCACATAAGGGGCCAGGGACAAAAGTAGGGGGGGGAGGGCAGTTATAAACTGTGCATATATATATATGAGTGTGTGTGCGCGCGTGTGTCTATATATACATATGCACAGTATCTCACAAAGGTAAGTACACCCTACACATTTATGTAAATATATTATATCTTTTCATGTGACAACACTGAAGAAATGACACTCTGCTACAATATACAGAGAGTATTGAGACTGTTTTATATATATATTTTTTATTTTTTAGTCATTGTGTTCTTTACTGTTAATTTTAAATATATTATGGAATAAATGTACTATACATCTACAATTGAATCCTGCACTTTTTCCGGTTAGGGGAAGTGTCACCCCAAAAATTGACACCAAGCCTGCAACCAGTAACTAGAAGGCTCTGAATAAGGTGAGCACCCTTTCTTTTTATGCTTATATATAAGTCAAGTGGCTATCTGAAATACTGCACCTAGAGTATTCTCTCTTTATTCCTGTCTCCTATACATATTGTGGAAGGGAACATACACAACGATCGAAAAAAGGGGTCAAGCTGTCTACCTTAAAAGTCACGGAAGCCTGGAAGTTTAGAGCCTAAAATCTTAAAAGGCTCTAAAAAATGTGCGTGGATTTTAACTCACACACAATATAATAAATAATATAATTTTTTGTTGTTGGTGTATATACAATACTGTACCATTATTTTGTATATCTTCTTCTGTCTTTCATGCACACCCCCTAACAAGCTCATAGAGAGGGGTGAGTTATATATATATATATATATATACGAGCACATTTTCTTGCATAAACATATAGAGTGCTGCACTCCAACTAGAGGTCTGGAAGGTGGAAACACCAACCAGACCCAGAGTTAACCGTTGTTTGGTGTTTGCTATTTTGTGGTGGGATATTGGTGGTACCCACAGAGTGTTTATAGCAGCTAAAAATTTATTGTTATATATAACAAATTAGCGCCAACCACTACCACACCTACTTGTGTTTATATATTTTTCTGTATCCACAGCCATTAATGTCTAAACCGTTGGCAACAAAAGTGAGTACACCTCTAAGTGGAAATGTCCAAATTGGGCACAAATAGCCATCTCCCCCCCTCGGTGTCATGGGACTCGGGTGTGTTAAATTTGGCGTTATCGCTCTCTCACTCTCATATACTGGTCACTGGAATTTCAGCATGGCACCTCATGGCAAAGAACTTTCTGAGGATCTTAAAAAATAATTGTTGCTCTACATAGAGATGAATAAACAAAACAAAAAAAAAGTTGGATACCCCAAAAGGGGAAACAACTAGGTGTGTGTCTAGGGGCGGCCAAAATAGGGGATAACCCTCACATACGTGTATTGATTGAAAGACAGACCTAATAGGTCAGGGAAAACAGGACGCCCCCTGGTGAATACTTATATATATATACAAAAGAGGTAAAACATAACCTTTAATTGTTGCTGTAATAAAAATACTCTAGCAAAAAGAAGAAGGCGCGTTAGCAGCGCCGAAACACGTGTTAGGTAGCAGGCAGGATATTTCTTTACCTGGACGCCGACTAGTTTAGTCTCTCTAGATGATCAGTTAGCTAGAACTCCAATACGATTCACTAGAAGGGGTGGGGTGGATATGGGCGACGGGGCTACTGTTTCTACAAGACTCTGTTAAGCTTATTATGTGATAGCTTCTTCCAGTACTACTGACTTGAATATAGCTGCCTTCTTTTCCCCCATTCCTCCATCCCTCAGTAACAGGCGTACAATATTGCTATGATACTTATCACACTGTATCTATCTAGTTACCGTATTCAAACTAGTGGATGATCACACAGTTAATGGACCTTTTCTACTATTTCTTGCTACAATCTGTTCACAAGGATTTATATAGTTGCTACTTTCTTACCCTATTGGATTTTATTTCAGTTAGTGGTATAAGAGACTTTTGGATAAGAGTCTATCTAGCAAGCATAGAGGAATTGTTTCTCTTTATCTAGGCAAGTTTCAGAGGTACCATCACTAAGAGATGTACTTTACTGGTTGGGGGGATTTTCAGCTCTATTCAGCTTGAGATCCTTTAGGTGATTCCCTCAGGATTATTATCCCCTTCCAGGCATATATCCTCCCATTTTAAACATTTATATATATTCTTTCTAAGCTTTTTGCTAGAGTATTTTTATTACAGCAACAATTAAAGGTTATGTTTTACCTCTTTTGTATATATATATAAGTATTCACCAGGGGGCGTCCTGTTTTCCGTGACCTATTAGGTCTGTCTTTCTACATAGAGATGGCCTAGGCTATAAGAAGATTGCAAAGACCCTGAAACTGAGCTGCAGCACGGTGGACAAGACCATACAGCGGTTTCACAGGACAAGTTCCACTCAGAACAGGCCTCGCCAGGGCCGGTGCTTCCTATAAGCGAATTAGGCATTCGCCTAGGACGCACCAGCCCGGGGAATGCCAGAGTTAAGTGACCCAGTAGGAGGCAAGCGCACACCGCTCCCTCCTGTTACTCAGTGTGGTGTGGACAGCGGTACAGGAGCTTCAGTTTCCTTTACTCACTCAGAGAGCACTTCCTTTTAGTCCGACCGGCAGTCTGCGCCGTCCGATCATTCTACACAGAGAGGTAGGAAGCACTACAGGGAGGAGGGTTGGCACCAAGGGGAGGGGGAGAGAGGAATACTAAAGGGGTGGGGGGGAGATTACAGGGTGAAAGGGGAGAAAACTAAAGGCCGGGAGGGGTGATCACGAGGGGATGGAAGAGGACTAAGAACAGGAGGGGAAGGGAGAGCACTAAGGGGCAGGGCCTTCTATAATATGAATAGGACCCTGGGCAATGCATTTTCTTGGGCCCTTCCCCCCCACCCTCAATTACGCCCAACCTGCAATCACACTGACAGACATGCTGACACATACACACACACATAAATACCAAAACATTCGCAGATGCATACTGACACACAAATATATACTGGCAGACATATTGACACACACACACACATACATACATACATACTGACATACATTTACCCACCCTCCAGGTTCTTACCTTTTTCTGGAGGGTGGTTTCCCTGGGGTCCAATGGCAGGCTGAGGCAGTTGGGAGTTCTCCTCTGGAACCCCCCCCTCCCTGCCTTCCTCCTCCCGCGCGACTCTGATCTCTGGAAGGAATAAAGAGCTGCTCCCCTCTCAGCCCCTATCCTACACCACAAACCCTCTTTCACACTACACACACGTACAAAAACAGATAATGCATCCCTACTCACACACAGAAACACACCATGCTTCCCTTACACATGCAGAAACACAATGCATTCATTACACACACACAATGCATCCTTTTTACACATACACAGAAGCACACAATGCATACCTTACACACACTGCATTACTTACATACAAAAACACACAATGAATCCCTTACGCACACACACATGCACTCACGCACGCACACACTGCTTCTCTTACACACACACAGAAACACAATGCATCTCTTACACACATTCAATGCACCCCTTACAGACACATACTGCATTACATTACATACACAGAACCTTGCATCCCTTACACATACAAACACAAAATTACACAATGCATCCCCCTTACACACAAACACACATTGCATCCCCTATACACACACTACATTCCATAAGAACACACGTACATTACATCTTCTACTATAACACATAACACACATACACTCCACTCCCTGTGAGCGAACTCATGGGTAGGCCATGTAGGTGGACTTATGGGCAGGCCTTGTAGGCATACTCACGGTCAGGCTTTGGGCTGTGTAAGGGGCCCAAAAAATGGAGCTGCTTCCTGTTCATTGATTTTTGTGAGCACTCTTACAAAAAGCCTCCAGAGAGCCTGTTCTACACCAGATCAGTGGAGCCAGACTGGAGCCTGGGCCCATCATCATTCTCTTGTCCTCATCTGGTGGTAAGTAGGCAATCCAGTATATTAGTGGCACCAATCTCTAATTTACCTCACATTAAAGTCACCAGAACCACTACAGCTTAAAGGGACTCTCCAGTGCTCCTCTCCCTCCCACCTCCCATCCCATGTTGCTGAAGGGATTAAAACCCCTTCAGTGACTTACCTGAATTGAGCGCTGATGTCCCTCGGTGCTGGGTCAGGCTCTGCCCACACTCCTTCCCGGGGAGGCCTAATGCTTTCCTATGGGGATTCCAGTGACGCTGGAGGTCCTCATGCATTTCGTGTTCTAAGACTGGTAGAGAGCCACTATAGGAGGACTTAACCCTGCAAGGTAATTATTGCAGTTTATAAAAACTGCAATAATTACACTTGCAGGGTTAAGGGTGGTGGGAGTTGGCACCCAGACCCCTCCAAAGGGAATAAGTGGTCTGGGTGCCTGGAGTGTTCCTTTAATATAGTAGTTCTGGTGTCTATAACCTGTCCCTGCAGAATTTTAATGTAAACACATTGTCTTTTCAGAGAAAATACACTGTGTGCAGCACTAGTGTTGGCTCATATGGCAGATCATATGGGTGGAGCATTGTGATGTCACATGGTAGGCAGAGCATATCGGAGGCAGCAAATTTTTGTTTGCCTAGGGCTGCAAAAATCCTTGCATCGGCCCTGGGCCTCGCCATAGTCGACCAAAGAAGTGGAGTGCACGTGCTCAGTGTCATATCCAGAGGTTGTCTTTGGGAAATAGACGTATGAGTGCTGCTAGCATTGCTACAGAGGTTGAAGGGGTGGGGGGGTCAGCCTGTCAGTGCTCAGACCATTCGCTACACACTGCATCAAATTGGTCTGCATGGCTGTCGTCCCAGAAGGAAGCCTCTTCTAAAGATCATGCACAAGAAATCCCACAAACAGTTTGCTGAAGACAAGCAGACTAAGGACAAGGATTACTGGAACCATGTCCTGTGGTCCGATGAGACCAAGATAAACTTATTTGGTTCAGATGGTGTCAAGCGTGTATGTCAGCAACCAGGTGAGGAGTACAAAGACAAGTGTGTCTTG